GTGACTAAATAATCCCACTAACCGATTGCGTATCCACTGCTGGGCCACTTCAACCCGGGGCGCCCCGCAACCCCCGACAAGCAGCAAATACGTACACCAATCACACCCCATCTTCCCCCTCGAACTCGATGAATTAATAAACTAGTACTCTAGAATTCAGACACTGCAGGTGCCAAGTACAGCTAGGTTAACCATCTGGCTTCTGTCAGACTTTACGATCACCTTCCGGTATCCGGAAGCTGCTACCCACTCATGACTGAATCCGGCCATGTTGCCTGGAACAAGACAAAGCTTCATCTGAAGACCCCGGACAGGCCAGCCACAGTACATGACCTTGGGTGGAGTAGATTTGCATAATACTACTTATGCAATTGTGTCGTCAATTGCATGGTCTAGACCGTGAACCTTACCACTTTGTCTGGATTTCATGCCAGATGTTGTCACCTAAGGTTAACCATTTAGAGACAGAATGGACATACTACTTGTCTTTCATCCCTGCAACATATCCTAGCCATAAAGTGTTTCGAATGCTTAAGAATAATGGATACTATGGTAAGTGAAAGGCATAGATCGATCTCGCATATCAGTCCTATCTTTACACATATGTCGACGGGTGTAGCTCATGTTCGTATATGGGATATGAAAGTAACACTGAAACTGCCCTGAATTTACAAGAAGTTTGTATTTACAATCAGACAACTAAGTAGCAACTCTTCGGGTTACAAGTTGCGGAATATTGCTTGGAACTGGGAGGGCACCGGCCGATCTGTACAATTTGCCATGGTATGCCCACCATAAAAGGGAAAGATGATCTTTCTGAGACGACCATTGTGAGCTGTTATGCTCATGTGTTGTTATGTCAAGACATGCATTCGGTAGCACGTGTCAAACCCACATGTTGAGCGTGAGTCGTGCTCCGACCCTGATGATCATTCGAGACGTCGATTCATTTTACCCCTGATGCCGCGGATGGCCGGCTTCGATGGCCTCGAGCGACTGGACTGGGTCTCCGGGTAAAAAGGTACCGGACTATGATTGTGTATAATCTGGATATGACATGTGTCCCTAACGACCAGCATTTTCGGACACTGGGATATATAACCGCCGCTCTCTCGCAGCCTTTAGAACGAGTCAGCGCTTCCGTGAAAGAAAGCCGTGGACCTGATGAATAAGATACCTCGAGCCACTTCTCTACCCAAGGCTTAAAGATCGCCCAGGCAAGCAGACTGCCAGTAGCAATGATAAACATGAATACAATGGCTTGGTCTTTCCGGGAGTCTCTCTCTGAAGTACAGACGACATGTTAGCAGAGCACGAACACTGGCGAGTGACTTGGGGGGAGGAGGGGAAATCATACGGAAACAGGTGGTAAAGACATCATCTTCCTTAGCACCATGACAGGTGGGCAAGTCATAGTCCAAGCAGAACTTCCGGTTACAATCGTTGCAGTTCAAAGAGCGATAATTCTTCGCTCTTGTATCCAAAATAGCGGTATCATCGCTGCGACGAAGGAAATGGGAGACACCGTTCAAGGCCGATGTCGATTCGGAAGAGTCGGGATCGAGAGGGATGATCGTACTATTGGAAAAGCAGGTGCACTTGCAAAATGACGCGGGGGCTGCGTTCTGACTATTAGCCTCTCTCTATCTTTGACAGTAAAAGCGGAGCCAGCATCGAACACCAGACGATTGGGAGGGTTGACTGACAGGAAGCCACCGCAAAAGAAGTCCAGAGTAAAAAAGCAGAAAAAAGAAACAGCACCCTAGAGGCGCTATGCCGTAGTACCATGGCTGGCGAATTCGCTGTGAGAGGGGTGGTTATCTTATCCCCTGGGATCAAGAGTTGACGTGTCGGTCTTCATTGCTGCCGCGGAGATGATGGTTTATTGGCGCCTGAAGGCGGAAAGGCCAGACCTCCGATCCATCCCCGGATTCTTGGTACCACGTGATCTACAAGTCCACTGTTGAAGACACCAGAGTATCAAAAGCTAACAATAAACCATGCCATCGATTGTACGGATAGTCTACTACCATTCCTGTAACTTGCTCCCCTAGCGTGCAGCCTACGCTCGAATCCAGAATTACAGGTTGTGAGACGAAGTTGAAATTGACGCTTGCCTGGGCAAGCATGCCAATTATGCAATATCTAATGCCAAAGCTATTTGCAAGATTCATGCGGTAAGCATCGTCTTCTAAGATTTTCCTTTCATCCCCTTGCTGCGGTTCTCCCTCTGCCTTTGCTCCTTAGCAGCCTCACGTCGTCTCCTCTTCCAAGCGCGATTGTTATCTCCCCGATTTTCCCAGAACCATTTGGTAAAGTCCGAGTCTTCTTTCGGCCCAGGCGCGGATTTGGGTACTGGAGTATTCAGGTGCGCCTCATCATCTATATCCATAGGGTCAGGCCGTCCCGCAGTCTTCCAGTTAATTCCCCGACCCATCAAAGCCGTGTCGGGGGTCGGGGCAGCGCTTCTTAATCCTCGGTCTTGCAGATCCCTTTTGGTGAAAGGCGTCTGCGGTTCGGCCGGCTTGACTTCTGCTTCATCTTCCGATTCTAAATCGTCTTGCGCAAAGAAACTGAACGGCGCATCCCCCTCTGTTTCAGGCTTCGCTTCAGGAGCACCCGGCGGGGGTCTCTTGAAAAGTGCCTCCAGTGGGTGGACATTTTGAGAGGGCGGTGGGTTATCATTCACGTTTGATGACGCACTTTGATTCGCGGCGGGCTTTGATTCGGAAGCCACTTTCTCTTGCTCGCGCTTATTTGACCGAACTGATGTATCATCATCGCTGCTGGATGAATCGATCGACTCATCCGTTGAAGCAGTCGAATCCTGATCGCTTTCGGAGTCTGTAGAATCTTCCTCAGAAGAACTCTCCCCACTAGACGAGGTCCAGTCTTCTGATTCCTCATCGGACTTTACTTCCCCGACGGCCTTTTTCTTTTGACCTGTGGCCTTCTTGGGAGGGGAAGACTCATCCCTCACAACCTTTGCCGCCTTTCGCTTCTCCTTGGCTCCGGCTACCTGTCCTGGTCTATACTTATCGCTTCTTATCCGATCACTGGCCGTCTCTTTCACATTCCCTGCTTCATCTACCCAGCCCTTACCCTCCTCGAATCCAACTGTTGGGGCTGATTGCTCATCCCCAGAACGTAGGAAACTCGGATGTGTAACGGTTTTAGAGAACTCATGAACCACCGTTTCCTGCGCAGATTTCTTGCTCTTCTTTTTGGACTTTGTCTCTGTAGCCTCGTCGGCGGAGGCCTTATTGGGTGGTAGCTTTGTTCGGAACAGACATTCGGCCTTTTCGGTGTACTTGGACTTGGCCTGCGACTTTGCAGACTTTTCGTCCTTACTTTTCTTCTTCTTCTTCTCTTCCTTGCGCCTTTCCTGCTTCGAATCTGCCGACTCGGTCCAGCCCCTCTTCACTTGGCGATCCTTCGGGAGCTCATAGCCATCCAGTATTTCCTCGCCCGCTTTCAGCTTCTTGGATTTCTTCGAAGACTTTTTATCGGATGATGACTTCTGGGGAGCAGTGTCGACTTCCTCTTCTTCATCTCTCGACCTCTTCTTTGGGCGAGCGGTATCGACCTTGAACTTCTTGCCCTTGAGAATGGAACCGTTCAGCTTCTTTTTGATTTTGTCGGCTTCCATGGTTGGCAGGGTCACGTAGCCGTAGTTGTTTTCGGGGAAGGTCGGGATGCAATGGAAGGAGATTTCCGTAGCTAGGGCTTTGATCGATGCAGGGAGCACGGCCGGTAGAAGATCGGGGGTGAATGGAGTGATATGCAGGCGCTTCGTATCGGATGGTGTGGTCATCATTTGCCCAATCGATAGATAGATAGATACCTGAGTACGGTAGCAGTGCAGGTGACGGCGAAGAGATCGGAGGAAAAAAATGCGCGTAGGTCAGTCACAAGCGCATTCAGCCGCCTAACGACTGTCTTTGACACTCGGTGAGAAATCGAACCCAAGTAGAATAAGGAAGAAAAAGATTTTCTGGAAATTGGTCAGATGGGCTTCCAACGAAGCATCAAGCAGACCCTAATGGAATAGTAGTTATTCGAGACCGAAAAAATAACGATAGGATCAGTTATTGGCCGAGGGATTTTCCGGGCCGCCAAGACCGGGTATGGAGATGTGGCGCAGGCCTGCCATTCTCAGCCACAGGTTTCTTGTGTCGTCCTCGACACATTGATTTGAGTTGGCATGGCATGACTCTACCATGATGACAAGAAAGTACGGTGTGTGGAAAAAGGAAAGAAATTTTTTTTTGCAGGGAGAACTCAGCAATAAATGGAAAAATGATTGATGTAAGACTCGATGTATCCATTGGAACGAGATGCAAGTTGCAACAGCAATAAATGGGTTTTTAGCCTCCATTACAATGTAACAGTCGGGCCGATACTCAGCCGCGACATGATTTGGCGGGTGAAAAGTGGATCCGGAGAGAATGATCAGGTAATCTTTCGTACGGCACCAGACCCGACCCGGCCTGCCTTTTACCAGCTGGTAACTGTTGTAATCCCCGTAAAACGGACTGGAACTGAACAGTAAACTGCCATTGATCTTCTGCCCTTTTCCCTTTTCTCTTTTCCCCCTTTGAAACCTACTTTCTTCTTCCTCTTCATCGCTTAACTACTTAAGTAGTTTGTCAATCGCCACTCTTCCCCAATATCTAAAAGTAGTCTTTGCTACGAAGATCCTTCCCCCTACATTACTCCTCCTCCTTCAACACACCCACACCCACATATCCCCCCCCCCCCCCCCCCCCCTGATCCGGCCCCATACCAAGTCTTCCCGCGGCTAAAGCCCGCACGTCTGATCTCATCGCCGCTTCCAGCTTCGACCTCAGTCGCTCACATGGCCACTCGGATTCCTTAGCATCATCTCTTTTCCATCCCCCTCCCCGCCCTACCGACTGAGGGTCCTCTAAAGTGTGCTCCACCTTTTACTTCCCTTCACTTATTATTCTTGGATCCTCATTTTCTTTCTTCCTGTGTTTCGGGGCGTTCGTTTTTCAAAACCATCGCTAGTCACTTCCCTCTCATTACCGGACGGGAACCTCGCTCGCTCCCTTCTCCGCTTTCTTATCCGGACCGCCTCTTGCCAATCTCACCGTCGATTCTAACCCGTCCTTATCCAGTCATCCAACCCTACTATTGTCGGCTTACACGTCGATCCCCATTCTCGTTCGAGATGGGCAATTCTCAGGCAAAAGAGAGCCGGCCGCTTGCTTCGTCCAGTCGCCGCAGTCATCACCATGGCCCATACGGTGACCGCCACCATGGTGATGGTTCCAGGTCGAATCGGGGTAGCCGCCCCGATCTGTCCCTGCTCGGAATAGGCGGAAGTTCCGAGCGAGATTTGGCCACGCTCGAACATCGACGAGAAACAAGGCAGGAACGAGAGGCTCGTCGCCTAGAGAAAGAGCGGGTAGCTCGGCTCAAGGAGCGGGAGCGTAGTATGAGAGAAGAACATGTGGACGGTGGTTATCTGGTGACCCAAGGTGTCTATACGGGCCCAGAGGATTTTAACAAGGCTGTGGTGCGACAGCTAATGGTGAGCTTGCCGCGCTGCCAAATCTGGCCTTGGAGAGCCCAGAGCCGATGCTGACTATTTCTCTATAGATCGAACGACGACTTGCGCCGTTTTGGAGAGGACTGAATGACTTCTCGGACTCGTGGACAGAGCACCAGCTTATGGCTGCGGCGCGCGGTCTTCCCATACCCCCTCCCGATGAGATCCCCCCTGAGCTGGAATATAAGAACCCACCCAAGGCCGCAGAAGACGCAAAGGAGGCTTCGGATTCAGCCGCAGTGCAATATTTGATGGTCCCCATAACGTCAAGATCGCAGTCATACGGATCCGATGCTTCCCAGTCTTCCACGCCCGCACATTCCCTCCCCTCCCCAACATCTCCTATCGCGTCCGGCACATCGAGCTCACCACTGTTTAGAGCGCGAGCCAAGACTCTTGCGTCGCTAACCACGCCGAAGCATGGAATCCAGTCTGATGCGGCTTCACGTGAAATGCAGTTGCCTCGTGACCCGTTTGTGAACGGACAACCCATTGAAGCATACCTATATAAGGACGCGGCGGAATGTCCTATCTGTTTTCTGTACTATCCTCCGTATCTCAATCGGACGAGGTGTTGCGACCAGCCAATATGCTCCGAATGTTTTGTTCAGATTAAACGTCCCGACCCTCATCCGCCGGAGCATGGGGATTCTAACCCGGATTCTGCTCCAGCTGAGGGTGGTGAACAAGCCGAAAGCCAAGACTGTCAGCTAGTATCGGAACCATCGGCATGTCCATTCTGTGTCCAGCCGGAGTTTGGGGTGACATATGCGCCCCCGCCGTTCCGGAGAGGGCTAGCGTACGCTTCTGATCCGAGCTCGCGCCCCAATGTGGCCTCTCCACTGTCTTCCACATCCTCCCTATCCTCCGGGAACACCCCCACCACCGGTCGTCGACGCGCGACCTCGTTATCTGCAAACGACCCAACTGTGATCACTACCGATAGGATTCGTCCCGACTGGGCTCAGAAGCTTGCCAATGCTCGAGCTCATGCGGCGCGGCGGTCGGCAGCAGCTACTGCCCTTCATACTGCAGCTTACTTGATGCACTCTAACGGCGCTGGGAATGATTCCCGGATTGGTCTGGGAAGAAGGAGTGTCATGCGGAGAAACGGCGCGCCCGAAGCCCAGAATTCCAACGCGCGCACCGGATCCCCGGCGCTGCAGGCGCTGGCGTTCCTCACGGATAGGCGTGGAGCTGGCCACGAGGCCGACTCGGCGGAAGAAGGGTCCGGTAACATCGCGCCACCTCGCCAGAGCTCGAGGCGGAATCGCATAGACGATCTGGAAGAGATGATGATGATGGAGGCGATCCGACTAAGTCTAGCGAGCGAGGAAGAACGGCGCAAGAGGGAGGAGAAAGAGGCCAAGAAAGAGGCCAAAAGAAAGGAGAAGGAAGCCAAGAAGGCAGAAAAGGTTGCGCGCAAAACCGGGCTCACCAGTCACAATGCGAGCAGCTCCGCCTTGGATGTGCCTCCGGATGCGCGGCTGGGTAGGGTTACCAGCAGTTCCTCTTCCATTGCGGCTGAGGAGCTTGTATCAGCCGGCAAGGGTAAGGAGGTAGACCGCTCTGAACCAGCTGGTGGCTCCGCCGCTGAAGCCAGTGCTGCGGCCGAGGAAGTGCAGGCCGCGGCAGCATCGGCAAGCGCGGCCGACCAAGCGCCGAGTATGTCACCTCCATCAGTTGTCCAGTCGTCTTTCAAAGATGTCACGAGGCCTTCGCATCTTCGGCATGTTTCCAGCGCATCGTCATCGTTCTCCTCGCTGGTCGAATCGATGTCGGAAGACCATGCGGGCTCGGCTGAGGGAGCAGGCTCCTTTGCAGAGCCCCTTTACAATTTTCGCAGCTTGGCAGCCGTGATCGGGGATGAAGAGAAGGGCGATGAGGCACCGGAGCATGTTGAAGAGAGCCCGGCCAAGCCGAATGTGGAGGGATCAGCCTCGCAGCCGGTGGCAGAGGCATCCGTTGCTGAACCCACAACCACCACCGAGGCTAAGGTACCCATGGAGGAGCAGCGCGACAGGCTGATGCCGAAAGAGCTGGAGACCCAATCCGTCGAAATTACGAGTGCCACACATGATACGGAGACTACGTCGTGAAGCTGCCAACGCTACGTTTTCAAAACCAAGGCGAGTTGGAAGGCCTGATGATGATACGCTCCTTTAACCCTTTGTGTTCCTTCTCCCCCCCACCCTTTCTTTCTTTCTTCTCCTTGGTTTGTGATGACACTGAGACGCATATGGTATCTTTCCTTATATACATACAGTTGCATAGATTTCGTCTGAGCCACCATTCTCTGGGTTTTTTCATTTTATTTTTTGTGTTGAGGGTTCATACGTGTGAGTGAGTGAGATGATGCGCCTTTTTCTTTCCTATGTATGCGAGCGTGCGGGAGTTGAACTGGCGGATGTGGATGTTATTCAATCTATCAATCAATCGCTGCTTGAGCATGTTGTTTTTCGGGGCACCAGATTGCGATGGTGATTGGTAGTTGGAATGGGATAGATCGATTTAACTCAGTGTTGGAAATACTGCAGGGATGATTTGACCGAATCTGTCCCTCTTTTTGTTGGCTATCCTATACTTCCTGGTCCCTTTTTCTTCTTCTTTCTGTAGGCGATAGATATCTATTCATCTATCTACTAATAGCCAGTGACCCTGACGGAGGGGATCATCGGCGGGATCGGAAGTGCGATCTCGTTTCAGCCACGCGACGGGCTCCACTGACCCTGGCAGGAAATGAGCCGACCAGCATCCTTTCATTCAATTATTGACCTTGCATTTCAATCTGTTCAATCATTCTGTTGTTATCCCAGGGAAATGGGGAACATACCAAGCATTGTCAACATGGAAGTACACGAACTTTTCCCATGATCACGACCACTACTGCTGCTGCTGCTGCTGCTGCTGCTGGTGCTGGGCAAAGGACGACATGGTTCTTGAAATCCTGGCCTGTCGAATGGATTAGCGTCTCAACAGGGTCCAGTTATATCCATCGGCCCTCCAGCGCATCCTCCACTTCTCTCGTCATCGCCGATCTTCCCTCGCGGCTTTGCCGGCTGCCTTTTCAGTCCCAGTCATCGGCTTCTATTGAGTCTGCTGCTGCAAAGTCGCCTTGCACGGCCTATCCCCGGCATGACAGCAGGCCAAAGTCACTCCAAGATGCATATCTGCATCTTTCATGGGGCTAAAACGAGACTGGATGTTCGGAAGTTCACGAAAAAGGCAACAATAGGATGCCGAACGGACGCTATCGACCACTAGTATTCATCCCGAATCATGCTCAACCTTCAGCAGTTCAGCTCGCTTGGCGATTGACCTTTCATTTCACAAGGGCCCTGTTAAAGTTTTGAAGTCGATCAGAAGGCACCCACCCAGGTGCGATCTATCTATCCATCTCTCCTGTCTCTCTCTTTTTTTTTTTTTTTTCCTTTTTTTTTTTTTTTTTTCTCCCTCAGCTGTTCCCCCCACCCCACTTTTCCCTCGATGACGCTCATTCATTCATGATGCATCATCGTCATTATCCACGGGTGGAGCTCATCCATGGTTCAGCTCGGATTTCCTGTTGCGCGTTCCTGGATCGAGGACAAGCCGGATTTATCTTTTCACATATCCACTTTTTCGGTCCCCCCTGATGATTAGTTAGTTGACACTAATTACTTCCTACTGGTCTTTTTTTTCCTTGAATATCTTGTTTTAGCGCCTGTTCTAGGTTGGATTCGATTTTTTTCATTTCATTTTCCCTCCAGTTTTTTTGGCCTTTACCCTTTTTCACAGCACTCTCTAGGGTTATCAGGCTTCGCACTCTTTTCCTTCCTAATCTCCTTCCCTCTTTATCCCCTTTCATTCTTTCCTACTATTGCTCTTCCCTTCTTCGTAGGAAAGTTACCCCGCCAGATCACTTGCGCGGATAATTGACCGTGCTCTCCCACGTTCTTGCTACTACTACTATTGCTTCCACCATCACCACCACCACCACAAGACTACCGCGTTCGGCTAAGAGACATGGCCATCCTCGACAAAGAAAACCGGCCCCGCGGCCTGCGAGTTCCATCCTTTGCTCGCAAAGGCTTCAAGCAGAAGTCCTCGGATTCTCTGCCGGACAAGGAGCCAGAGCCGGTACAGGCACCCGTGACGACGGTAATCCCACCGCGAACCGACTCGGTTCCTGATTATTCGGCTCCTGCTCCGCTGCCTGCCGCCGTGCAGCCATCATCATCCGCATTTAACGCCCCTATCCATCATCAAGATAACCTCCCACAATCTGCTCCGCCAGCGGCTAACTACACCCCCGCTCCTCGCGCTTATCAGGCCTATCGTCCTCCTGCTGCTTCAGAGCCTATGCAAAGCCCTCCGGCAAGGAAGGAAGTTCCCGTACCTGCGATCCAACGGCAAGATACCGAAGAGCCTTTGGAGGACTTTATCCCAGAACCCGAGCCGGAATTGGACGACACTGGCGCGCCTATCGAGCCTGTGTCCAGTGAAGAAAACAATGGCCCGTGGACGCCTCCTGATATTGAGCCTGTCGCGGCGCCGCTGAACAAATTGCACTTTGCCTGCTACCAGGACCATCGGTCCATGCCCCCCGCCAACAATGTCTGGCATGCTGTTCCCTGCATGACCTGCCAGAAGTTCGACCGCGATGTTCGATACCGGTGTGTCTTCTGCTGCTTGCGCATCTGTACCGGCTGTTTCCAGACCCTGCAGACGATCCCACGTCGCTCGTTGGCGCAGCTAATGGAGTCCATTCCTGCGGCCAAAGCCTGAGGCCATTGCATCCAGCTTCTTGATGTTTCTTCTCCCGCCTTTCACTCTTCTACTTGAGCATGGAAACGGTGCTGTTTCTTTTCATCCTGCCACTCCTCTGGCAATTCCTGAATCCCGGTGGCTGCTCCGAGCACTGCAGCAGTCGTCACCGGTGTACGTTTGATGGCTCATGGCGCATTGACTGATACCACTGAAATTTCTTTCTTATCAACTGCTTGGCGATGTTGCGTCCATCGTCAGTCTCTCAGCCCTTGGCTTTCTCTTCATCCACTATATATGCGATCCCGATCCTGGCGATCGGGCCTGAATGGCACCCCATGTAATGTTAGGCATATGTTCTGCATGATATGATAATTATAGCTAGTCTAATTCCTCACAACCAATGATTGAGATAGAAATGTGTTGCAAACACTCACATGGGTGGTTCCATAGCACGCCGGTCTCCTTTAGTATAAGTAGGCAAAGTCGTTAGTCATGATCCTCCTCCGTCACGCCGGGACATCCTTCCATCTCAGCGGTCTCGTAGCGGTATTTGCACCAGAAGCAGTAGTGGTGTTTTTCGCGGAGATATTGAACCAGCCGGCTTAGTCGCTCGCCTGGCTCCAGCGCATTGAATTCCTCTAGTTCCGGATCTTCTTCTTCTAGCTCTTGTTCGAGAATGGAGGACATCTCTCGACGGCCTCCGAGGGCCTCATGGTCCTCGGGATCGAGCGTTGAGTCTTCATACCCGGGCAATCGTGGGTTCGGGAAAAAGGATGACGGCAGCGATGTCTGCAACATGTGGCGGGTCTGTACGGCGCGCTCCTTTTCTTGCCGCTCGCGCACCAACCCCCGGTAGAGTATGTTGATCTGAAGTGTTGGTTTGACGGGCCTCTTGGCTTTCTTTGTAGTGGAGGCGGGGGTATCTGTCTGCGATTCTTCGCCGTCCACATCCGGTGTCGCATGCGATTCTTGCTCCTCTTTCTCTTCTCCGTTGGTCTCGGTTGATGATGGTCCTATTCCCACTTCGCCCTCGGCCTCCGCATCTAAGCGTTCAGCCACCTTCTGCGCCGCATGGAACTGAGCTTCAAGCCGTCGTGTCTCGCGCTCCAACCGGACGCGGTCGCGGTAATCGCCCTCTTCTTGCTTGACCTTCTTGGTTACTTCGGCGGCTTCTTCGAGGAACTTCCGCTTTCGCTCCGAGTCGAGACCGATCCCCCCTCGGTCCTCCTTGAAGATGAGATTGAGGGGTTCGGACCGGATTCGATGCTCGGGATCCTTGGTGTCCTTCTCGGTATCTTGCGGCGACGCGGCAGGTTTTCCGAGTACTTGGCCCGGCTTGAATCCCAGCTTGGCCATCATCTGAAACCCTTTGTTGGAAGGGTCAAGCGTGCTGGTTGATAAGGCGGCATCGCGGCGGGCAGCTTCTTGAGCGGCGCGTTCGGCTTTGGATGGGACTTTGGCTCGCGCTTCGGCCTGCGATTGAGGGGGAAGGGTTAGTTAGGTGGAGCTGGTGCTGGTGCTGGAAAAGATATGCGCCTAAAAGCCTACCTCCCGTTGCTGACGCTTCTTCTTTTGCGCGAAGGTTTCCTTCTGCTGGGGCTCTTCGATGATCATGGACATGTAGTCCTCTTCTTCGTCGTCTTCATCGAGTCGCCCGCGTGCGGGGGACTCGGAGTGAGGGGGAAGCGGAGGTGCCATTGCGGACGGGCCTGAGCGTGCGTCGGAGGTAGAACTAGAGCCGAAACTATGGATATTGAGGAGGGATATAATAGAGGATAGTTATGGGGAGTCGAATGCGACTTTGGGATTGGGTTGTTAACTCAGACTCAGATGGACAATGTTGGTAAAGATGAACCGCGACGCGAAAAAATCACGAGGATTTGCGGGGATTTCGTCACATGCGGAGGCGCGGGATTTTCCCCCTCCGAATTATTTACTTCCAAGTCTCTTTCTCATCTCTCTCTTCTCTCTCGTCCACTTTAACCCGATGGAGTTCACTTCATCACACTCGAAGAATAATTTCCATCATGCCCCTAATTCAAGGGTCCTGCTCAGCCCAGCCAAGGTCATTAGCTTCAATCCTTCAGTTGGCCCGTCAGGCCCCCGATTGACCAGCGGGACAACTGCCCAATTCCCAAGTACTGACCCTTAACAGCGCAATGGCACCAGTCCTCTGCCGATTCACGTCATCTGCACAGCCTAGCTGCAGATTAGGTTTGACCCTCTTCTCAGTTGCGGCATGAGTGCCGCGGATACTAGCCCCCACAGAGTGTTTCTCCCTTCGACTGTGGCTCGGAACGTGGGGGCGGGTTCCAAGTTCTTATGCCCAGAGTTAGTTGGCTGGCCTTGCTCATCTGGATGGCCAATACACTTCCCATACAAAAGGATCCGTGGTGTTGGCAGGATTCTCCTCATTTCGCCATGTCGAATCATCGCATGCGGAAGGAGGGCGCCTTGCCTGGCAACGTTTTCTCCACATCTGCGACCCTATTGTTCAGACCAGACCCTGGAGCTATTCCCGCGAGATCTGTTTCTGCCGGGGTTGCTTTATAATGCCTGGGGTGTTCTGTCATTGATCAGAGCATGATATCTTGGGTTACAGTTCTCTCATTCGGTTTAGAGCGTCCGTAGCCCCACGGCTCGTTGCACAACATAAAATGATTCTCTTTCATTTGGCACGGTTCTTCTTCCTGTTTGGTCTAGTAGTATCTTCTCAGAACCCTACAGTCGACCTTGGCTACACAAAGTACAAAGGCAAATCTCTACCCAATGGTATTAGTCAGTGGCTGGGAATACGCTACGCCGCTGCACCTACTGGATCTCTACGGTTTTCTGCGCCTCAGGATCCTGACTCGGTAGAGGGCGTCCAAGATGCTTTCAAGGTATGATGCTTCCTACAATAGGTTGGAAAATGTATTGCGAGTCTGTGCTAATGCCTAGGAGCGCAGCATGGCCCCCGGTGTGTTCCCACCAGCCAATATCCCACTCCCGCAGGCACGTCTGAAGATTGTCTCTTTCTCGATGTATACGCACCCAGCTCAGTGAAAGATATTACGAGACTGCCCGTTTTTGTTTGGATCCAAGGGGGTGGTTTCAATGCCAACTCCAGCCCCAACTTCAATGGAACAGGATTGATTGAAGCGGCCAACATGTCCATGGTTGTGGTCACCTTCAATTATCGAGTCGGTCCGTACGGCTTCCTCTCTGGATCCGAGGTGCTGCAGGGAGGAAGTGTGAACAATGGCCTGAAGGATCAGATTAAGGTCCTGGAGTGGGTACAAGAACATATCAGCAAGGTATGCGAACACTCGAAGAAGCCATCTAACTACTGCTAACCGCAACCGCAACCGCAGTTTGGAGGCGATCCCAGCCACGTTGTCATCGGCGGCGACAGCGCAGGCGCAGCGTCCATTACTCTCCATCTTTCAGCATACGGCGGCAAAGACGAGGGACTCTTCCACGCTGCTGCCGCAGAGTCCCAAAGCTTCGCCCTCATGTTGACCGTCAACCAAAGCCAATTCGCCTATAACAACCTGGTCATCCGCGCCGGCTGCGCGAGCGATCCAGACACTCTCGCCTGCCTCCGCCGACTAAACACCACAGAACTGCAGCGCGTCAACATCAACACACCCTTACCCACCGCCCAACAAGCACCTCTCTACCTGTACGGCCCCGTCGTCGATGGCTCCCTCATCCCAGACTACACATACCGACTATTTCAACAAGGCAAATTCATCAAAGTCCCCGTAATCTTCGGCGACGACACCAATGAAGGAACGATCTTCGTCCCTAAAACAACATCCACCGTCGGCGAAGCTGACACCTTTATCCAAGACCAATTCCCCAACATCAACTTCACCCACCTAACCAAGCTGAACAACTGGTACCTCAACGAAAACCAAACCCGCGAATTCCCCAATTCCTCGCCCTACTGGCGCCCCGCTAGCACCGCGTACGGTGAAATCAGATACATCTGTCCGGGGATCTACATGTCCTCTGTGTTCTCGGGTGCTGGCGTCAACAGCTGGAACTATCATTATGCCGTGCAGGACCCCGCCGCGGAGGCCTCAGGCAGAGGTGTCAGTCATACCGTGGAAGAGAATGCCATCTGGGGCCCGCAGTATGTGAGCGGCACTCCGCCGGCGTCGTATTTCACTACGAATGCGGGGATTGTGCCGGTCATGCAAGGCTACTGGACGAGTTTCATTAGGGTTTTCGATCCGAATCCGCTAAGGTACCCAGGGAGTCCGGAGTGGGAGACGTGGAATAATGGGCATGGAGCAGATTATCGGAGGATATTTTTGCGCACGAATGAGACGAGGATGGAGACGGTGTCGGAGGAGCAGAGAGAGAGGTGCGATTATTGGAGTAGTGTTGGGCCGGACTTGTCGCAGTGATTACATTGTCTTCAATTGTTAATCTGGGTGGTGGTGGTGAAGTTGCTGGTCTAGTATATATAGTATTAGTGTAGCTTATACGTGTATTAAATAGATACGGAAAGATGATATTGTATAAATCAAAACATTCTTTTTTGGCTGCCATTCCACGATCATCATTCCCAATGATCAAACCAAGTAACTATGATCACGAATATATACATCTATACCAACTAGCTTCATCAGAATTACCAAAAAACCTGCCCGGCACACGCAGCTAGACCGAGCAGACTCGTCGACATGGACCCATGTGTTGAAAAATAATGAAACAAAAGAAAGAGAAGAAAAGGCGAAACAAGTGAGAAACGCTGCTTTCCCACATAGAGCAGTGAACAATTGATTGATGATTATGATTATCATAATCACCGCTTGCCCTGCCGCAATCTTTTCTCCCTTTCGTAAGCATTCGCCTCGCGACCCTCCTCGTTCTGCACCTCCGCCACAAGTCGCTTGTACTTGCGCTCGTACTCGGCATCGCGCTCCTTCTTCTCGCGGAGCTTCTCGCGCGCAATGAAGTTGGCATCCTTGCGAAGCTCGCGCATCGCTCCCTTGCGCTCGCGCTTGTATTCCGCCTTGAGGCGGTTGCTCTCGGCGCGCTCGCGGTCCGGGTCGTAGTGCTTGTCCGGGTTGAAGGACTCTTCGAACTTGGGGATGGCGGTTTTGATGGCCAGGGGCCGGTGGTTGTGCAGGAGGAGGGGTCGACGGGTGAGTTTAGCTTGGGATAGTTGGGTGGTAACCTTGTCCAGGGTGGATTGGATGGTGTCCCGCACTTGAGTGGGAATGAGTTTCTTGTTGCCCTTAAGGCTGCTGCGAAGGTGGTTGAGGACGTTCTGGACGGGAGTGAAGATCTCGGTGTAGGCGGATTTGCCGGTCCAGAGGTCGGAGGCGGTGCCGAGGAGGGTGACGAGGGTGGTGAGCAGGGATAGCTTGAGCTCTTCGGGGTTGGAGGGGGATTGGTCGGTCGTGTCCCAGAAGCGGAGCTTGCGGGAGGGGATGGTAGTCTTAGAGGAAGAGAGGTTCAGGCGCAAGGAGGTTTGGGGGCTCCGGAGGGGGAAGGATCCGAGACTCTCGCTGGGCTCTTTCGGGCTGAGGTGGCACAGCATGTTGAGAGTGTAGTTGATGAATTCCGGCATGTAGCGCTTAGAGATGGACTGGTATTGCAGGAGTAGGCTGGCTGCGTAGGTGCCGGCGGACGCATCGGCGAGAGAGTTGACGATGCCCTGGCCCAGGTAGCGCGAAATGCAGAGGTGTGCCGGGGTTGCGATGGCGTGGAAGTGATCGGAGGTTGGGAAGGTGGTGGCAATGCCGGTGAGGATGACAAGGTCACCAGCACGGAGATTGAGCGGACGCTCCGTGGCAATCTGGCGGAGCTGAGCGCGATAGGCCTGGCAGACGGTGTCAGGGTGAGTCTTCGCCAGGGAGTGGATGTGACGGAGGATGTTTTCCACAATGACGAACGGAGGATGTTCTGGTAGATCGGCCATGTAGGCAACGTGCTCGACGAGGATGCCTGCGAATCGGCCGAGCTTCATCTTGTTGTCGGGGTGAAGACGGGGATGGTGCAGGGCACGAATCCGCTGGATGACGACAGGGAGGTCCTGCATGGACACATCTTTGATGATCTCCAGGAACTCGTCATGACTGCCGGGGCAGGGGTATGTGTATGCCAGGCCGTCAGTGGGCTCTTCGGTGCCGTTGGGAGCAGTTGAGGCATCGCCGGACTTGCTATCAGGGAGCGTAAAGCCGTTGATCAACTCGTCCTCCTGGTCATCCTCAGGCTCCTCTTCGGACTCCTCTGCGGAATCCATCTCCAGATCGCTTTCATCGAAGGAGAGACTGGCATTGGACCTCGTTTCCACAAGGTCGTCGTCGATGATAAAATCGTCTTCATCTTCGACTCCCAGTTCGGGACGAGTGCTCGTCTCGGCCGTGGGCTGTTGCAAACCGAAAGCTTTAGCATCGTCCGGTAACGACTCCTCATCGTCATCCTCACTGCCTTCTTCCTCGTCACTTTCCTCTTCATCCTCCTCTTCGTCCTCGCTTGACTCCTCACCGCGCATTCGTCGGACACGCTCTTCTTCCAGTTTCTTCAACCGCTCCGCCTCTTCCGCTGCCTTCTCCTCTGCCGTCTTCGTCCGGTCCGTCGGTTGAGACCTCTTATCGAAAGTGAGCTGCTTCAGGCGCTGGTCATACTCCTGCTCGGTCTCGTTCTGTGACTTTCCGGCCAGCAGTGCCGCACGAGCGGGGTCCATCGAGGCGAAA